CTGAACTCTATTAACTGGCTCATAAAGCAATGCTTTTCAAAATTAGTCATCACATTACCTGATAAGTTGTTAGAAAAGCAAATTTTTAGGAAGAAATAAAAATAGCTAATAAAACCAAAAGAAAAAAATGGCTAATATATTAAACAGTTCAGTAAATTCTTACTAAGTTTTTACATCTTAAAAGATATGATGTTGGACAGCTCAGAATTACAAAGATTTTAATTCAGTAAGCATTTTAAATACTAATGTGCCAAAAATGGCTCTGGTTGCTGGATATATATTGGAGGGGGGAAAGCTATAAAGAAATAAAATCGGTGCTATGTAGAAAATAATAGCGTGCGAGAAATGAATTAAAATGGATGATTCTTGGGGCCAGAAGGTGGCATAGTGGTTAAGACGCTGAACTCCCCACATGGTCAATGTGGTTCGAGTCTCAGACCTGGTAGCTTGAAGCTCAAGCCAGGCACATGTTCATTCATGCTCAAAATCCCAAGAGAGAATGGAGAAGGAATTGCAGCATGACCATCCCCCATAGGGAGTGTTTCCTCCTGTTGTGTCTCTCTGATGAGCTCATGCACCCTATAGCAAAAAAAAAGGAAAAAAAAAAAAACTCTCAGAAGAAAAAAAATGATGATTCTTGGGCCAGCCAGTGGCATGGTAGTTAAGATGGCCGGATCCCACACGGCTAACTACATGGTTTAAATCCCAGACCTGGTGGCTTGAAAAGTGCACTGGGTACATGTGCATGTATGCCCAAAATCCTGAGAGGAGAATGGAGGACAAGGGACTGTGGTGTTGCCATCCCACCAGGGATTTCTATCTCTCTCTGTTGCTCTCCAGCAAGTGCATGTGCCCTATAGTAATTCTTTTTAAGTTGATAATTCTTAGAAAGCCTTTTTGAGAAAGTGACATTTAAGCTGACACCTGAAGCACGAATAAGAATTAGTCTATTGAAGAGTAGAAGGTAAGCATTCCAAGCAGTAGGTATACCACTGGCAAACACAATGGTGCAGGAAATGAAGCATTTTCCAGGTCAGTGTGGCCATAGTGTAAATAAACAGAAGAAAGATCAGAGATGAAGTTTCAGAAGCAGACAAGAATCTAGATTTGCAGCATCTATAAGCTACATTAAGCCCTTACCCCGATTCTTATTTACCAAGCTTTATTTTCTTTCTAATAGGATGTGACTGTAATGTGAATGATTTAAGTGTAATGAATGGTTGGACTGGAGGTCCCACAACTATTTTGCAGAGTTCAACTTTATAAGGGTCTCAAAGAATAAAGGCTGACCCGTGAATGTCTGTGGTCTATTTTGATTTTGAAGTGAGTTTGTATGTGTGTGTGAATGTGTGTACATTTGTGTGTATGTGTGTACACTTGTGTGCACTTGAGTAAGGGAATGGGGCACCTCAGTGGAGAAGTTGTACTGACAAAGGAAGTAGTAACCTGGCCTCTGATGGTCCAGGAGATGACTATACCTCAATGGCCTGCAGGAAGAAGAAAGGTAAGGGAATAGGTGAGTCAGGTGAGCAGGGCTGTAATTACATTTCACAGAGTTGGGTCATCAAACAGGAACTCATACACAGAGAACAACGATACCAACTCCCCCCGAATAATGACCCACATTACCAGGAGCCATACACTTTCAGGCATATTGACTTTAGAAGCCCTCTCTTTTCTGTAATCCATGCTTCCTTCTCAATTCTCTTTGAACCTTAAAGCCTTGTCAGAAATAAAGCAAAATCAAGATAGATTCCACAGAAAACATTTAGGACATGAAGAGTAGAAAACATTCAATTCAGATACTGATCTATTTTAGCTAGGATGAGTGTGTTTCTGAGGGGCAGGGAGGGGATTGAGTCTTAGAGTTTGTAAGTAACTTCAACTGTAATGTTAATGTTTTAGTTCTTGATTTTTTTGTTTGTTTTTAGAGAGATTTTTGCTATAGGCATGTGTGCTCTCTAGAGACACAGAGACAGAGAGAGAGAGTGAGAGAGAGTGAACAATCACCCCCCCAGAGAGGATGGCCACTCCATGATCTTTTCTCTTCCATTCTCCCTTTGGGATTTTGGGCATGCAAGCATACATGCCCAGTGTAAGTCTTTCAAGCTGCTGGGTCCAGTACTCAAACTGCAGTTGACCACAACCACTATGCCACCTGCTGGCCCCAGTGCTTTATTTCTTGAATTGAGTGTTAGATACAGTGGTGTTTGTTGTGCTAATTATGAAGTATTTCATAATTTTCAAAAATAAACATCTGAAAGGAAAGAGAAGAGAAAGATTATTCTATGATCCCACTTCTACCTGGGAAAAGATGGGGGCCTCTCCTGATTATCCTAATTTTATTATAAACCAAAAAATAAGACTGCTCCTACTGTCCTCTTTGAGGTTAATGCTCGTAAGTCAATTCATTTTCTTAGCAAATGTTCAAATCACACACCTATGAAGCCGGATCAACTTCAGGGACTCCTTCCATGGGTGTAACTATATTCATTGAGTTCCTGCATTGATGTGCTTCCTGTTTTGTTAGTATTATGACATCACACATGTTTGAATGACACATCGGGATGAAGGTCATAGCCCTGAAGTGCTCAGTCAGCTCTGTTACCCTTACAATGCTGATAGGGTACTGGGTTTTCCCAGGCTGTCTCAGACCTACTTCCTGCTCACGAGTCCTGCACCCCTTCTTATTCACCTTGGCTCCAGGAGCATTGTGTTTCTTATTTCTTACCCAACTATGATCACAGAAAGAGAAAAGGATTAAAGCCATGTGCCATCTTGTTATAAAGCATATGAATGGCTGCAAGTCAAGAATGAAATGGAGGGAACCAGCAGTTAGTGTAATGCCTATGTCGCTGGACTCCCACATAGTCGACCATGGTTCGCGTCCCGGACCTGGGGGCTTAAAACTCACACCGGGCGCGTGTGCGTGTGTGCGTGCCCAAGATCCTGAGAGGAGAATGGATGAGAAGGGATTGTGGCGTGACCATCCCCTCTGGGGGGTGATTTCTCGCTTTCTGTCTCTGTGTCTCTCTCTGTCTGTCTGGTGAGCACACGCGCCCTATAATGAAAAACCTCTCCAAAAAAAAAGAAAAAAAAGAATGAAATGGAAAAGGATGGATCTAATTGTTAGACTTGCAGATTATCTGTGTATTTCACATTTCCCACTTGGGGTTTTCTCTAAATAGAGGCAGAGTGACATCATGCTGATGCTTGGCACTCCTTGAGGTCATAGAGCCTGAATTGAACTCCTCCTTCTGTCACTTCCTGACTACATGATCTTGGCCAATCTATTTACTCTGCCTACAATGCAGATATGAATAATGCCTACCTTTTGAAGTTGAAACACAGATCAAATGAAATAACACATGCAAATGCTTAGCATAGTACCTGAGAAAGCATCAGCTTAGTACATTTTGGCAGTTAGTACGTGCACTGATTTGAACTTTTCTTCCTGACTTTTTAATGCTAGTTCAGTGAAGCACCTTAAAAGTTGATAGGCATCAAGGAAAATCCACATGCAGGAAAGAACAGCTTCCAGGCTAAAACCAGATCTCGTAAGAGTGGCCTCCAAACCTGGAGGGAAATTTCTACCTGAGAGCTGTGCATTCTTCTACCTACTCCCTTCCGACTACAGGTTCCAGAAAATCTGCCCATGAAAGGAGACAGGAGTTGCTAAACTGGTTGGTAGCTTATTTAGTTTTCCGTCTTAAAATCCAATGTCACCTCCCATGAACAGCTAAAAGAGACCAAAGATCCAAATGGCAGAGTGCGTGTTCTGTCCCTTAAGGCTGTCCAGTCAGTTTTCCATCAGTAAGGGGACCTTTTGGAGGAGAAAATGGTTTCATTTTTCCCTAGAAATAAAGGAGATCAAAAGACTGTGGGCAAGCGGTGGGGCGAGAATACCCGAACTAAAGCATTCCTAATTTTCTGAGGCCCTCCTCCGTGGACAGGGGTAGAGTTTCTAGGATTACAAGCTGCTAGGAAAGGAAAGGACTTGGGAATGAAAATTATTCTGAACAACTAGGAAAGCTAGTAGCAAAATTGACTGCCAAGGAATTTAGCTTGGAAAATTCAGGGCACTATTTAGCTCCAAGCGGAAGAAGGTGGTTCCAGATGAGAAACCAAGTTTCAGACACACAAAAAAGCACACTGCCCAGTGGGATTTCTGTGCTCCTTTACACGAACATTAAAAATAAAATTATAATATCTTTGGTCTACTCCCTACTTTCCAACTTCCCTTCCTTACGGTCTCAGCCCAAACCAGCTCCTCCTCCTTCCAGCCCTCCTCCTTTTATTTATTTATTTTTTTAAGGGTTCTGATTGGCTCTAAATGGGGAAGGGGAGAGCAAGATATGATTGGCTAAGTGAGAGCGGTACCGCCCTACCCATTCCCCTCCCACACCCTCCCTGGAGAAACAGCTGGAATGAGTAGTAGGAGGCTAGGATTGGCTGAGAGTCAGCGGCAGGGTGGGGTGAGGCATAACAGATGAGACATTTACCTGTCTAGGTAAGTCAGGAGGAGGTCAAAAGAAGAAGAAAACTGTAGGAGGCAGGGGGAGCAGTCTCTGTCTCCGTCTCTGCCCTTTGAAATAAAAGGGTGTTCCTTTCTTCTCCTCAGCCCCCCAACCCAGTGAAGGTGAGTTAATCACTGACAAATTGTTGCTTATTCTACAGCAAGAAGAGGGCCTTTATGGGAAGTGGGAGCTCCAAGGTTCCAGGGAGAAGAAGGGGTACCCCTCTACACCTCAGCTAAGGGACTTTCCTCTCTATCCTTTAACTCTCTTGAGTCCAGTCTTGGATTAAGGCAAGCTGGTAGTTTTCTTGAGATTGGAGTATTTTTTTGTGTGGAGAATAGGGCTGAGACATATCTATTTCATTTAGGCTGATAAGCAGATCAACCTCGAATCATTTTTCACTATGTCAGATAGACATATTATACAAATTACAAGAAAAGAATGAGGTTCTTTTGGGAAACTTCCCTCTCTTGAAGTGTGATTTTGGAAAAGAACAGTTGTAGGCAAGGGAGACAAATGGGGGCTCCCTCAAGTGAGTGGCATGCTTTGATTTTCTATTGCATTTGTAACAGGAAACGTCTCCTAAGATACCTCGGTGTCTATGGTTAAATAAATGGTGCGGTGCGTGCATGTCCGATCATGGTGTCTTGATAATGGAGCTCTCTGTGGACAGGTGTGCAGGGTGTGAGTTGTGCTTGTATGTAAGGGGACGGGAGATTTGGGCACATTGAGAAAAGTCCAACTCGATCTACCAGCTCATCTTTGGAAAACTCAAGGATAATCTGGCTGTAATATCAAGCTTATTTGGGTTGCAACTCAGTTTTCCGACTTTGCCTAGATAATAGGTACCGAGACCATTAAACAGAAAGTCACTCAACTGTGCCAGGCCTTCCCCACATTAACATTTTATGGCAGCGTGCAGAGTCTGGTCGGAGTTCCAGGAGGACTCAGGCCAAGGTAGTGTGGCAGAGTCCAAAGAGAGGAAGACCAGTCCATGGTAGTAGTTGTGCTTTATTTTCCTCAAGGTGTCCCAGCTGGCAGTTTGCATGTCAGGTTTACCTGCACAAGGAAAGCCGGATGTAGAAGTCAGAGTAGCAAGTGAGCTGTCCATTATCCATCTTGGGTTAGGGGGTCCCTAACTTTGCCCCCTTCCCTCTTGCTGCAGAGAAGAGGGAAGTGGGGCAACCTCAGGGCCTGGCCCACATAGCACTGAGGAAATACACTGGGGTTCCGGCCCTGGCAACTGGGGTGAGTAGTAGACGGTTTCTTACGCATACCCCATACCCCATCACTCGCTGACAGAGCACCACAGATGGTGAGCTTGCCAGTCATAAATTAGATCACCCTCAGTGTCCAACTGAGCCCTTCTGTGCAGAGAGTGTTGTCCCTTCCCTCAAACCCACTGGTGAAACACTCAGAGGCTTGCCTGTGCTCACGGGGAGGGATAGCATGCAGCACACATGTCTTGAGTAGTCAGCAAAAAGGAGCACTGTCTGGTATGAGAGAACTAGGGAACCTCTGTGGCCACTGGGGAGAGAGGCTGAGCTCTTGAGGATATGGAGATGGGCTCTCAGAGGAGGATGAGGAAGGCCAGAGTCTGTTTAGAAGGTTGGAAAAGCCAATCTGGAGCCCTCTCCCCACCCCACCTCACCAGGTGCCAGAACCACACATGCTGTTTGTTTATTCTTTTCCAAGGCTTGCTAGGTTTCAGTGGAATAGTTAATATTTAATGTATCTTGGGACAGATTGCTCTGACTATATAGGCTGTGCGTGTTTCTTAACCCATTCCCTCCTCCTCTTAACTTCCCCAAAGGGGTCAAGGGTTAAAAGATACCAAACTCTCACCTTGAGCGCTTTACTTGTTTCTCAGGTTTCTTATCAAGCAGAAATATTTCAAGGTTTCGATGGCTGCCCTGAAATAGACCCCAAGTTTCAAGGTTGTAAAGTTGGTGGAAGGAAATGCAGCATCCAGGTCAGGCCAAGCTGGCGAAGGAGCCTGGAAGGCTGGGAGGAAGGGACAGACCTGTTTTCCAGACCATTCAAACTCTCTAGGTCGGGAAACTAGGTGCCCGCACCTGTGGGCTCACTGGGTTTTGGATTCAGGTTCAGGGTCGTCTCTGCAGTGATTAGTAGGCACCTCTGACATGATCCTCAGTGGCATTTGGTGTCATTTCTTTACTCTGGAAATACCAGTTATTGAGGCAATAAGCTGGCCTGGAAATATGAAACTGGGCCAGATAGTTCCCAGGGTCTAAGGGATGAGGTAGAAAAAGGATGATCTCAGAGCTTCTAGAATATAGTCATGGTAGGGGACCAATCACCCTTCTCTCTAAGTGCAAACCCCTCTTGCATCTGCTCAGTCCCTGAGCTGCTCTCTGGGGCGGTCAGGATCCAGGCTGCTTGTATTGCAGTGGGTGGCCACTTCCCATTTCCCTAAGGAAACAGTGGGAAGAACACCAGTCTTCTCTGCAAATGAAGACAATGTCACAGCCTGTCTGTTACCAGGTTATTTGGAAAATCTAAGAGCGTATCTGAGAGCGCTCTATAAGTTTGCTATTCCTATTCCTTTTTTTTTTTAAATTTCAATTTATTTATTTGCATTCATTCCTATTCCTTTTGTATCTTCCCTACCTCAGGCTATCCTAGATTTCAAAAGGAGAGTGTGTTAGGCTTCCCTGGGAGGGGGGAGAGTTAGCAAACCACTGAAAAGGCCGAAGCAAACCTGGAAGAACAAGGGTAGTCATTTTCTCTGAAAGTAAGAGGCAATATCTGCTCACCCATTCATAGAGCATGCTGCATTAGTTACGGTGAGTCACTTTAAATATTTACTGCCCTGATTTTACAGATAAGAAAACTGGAGCAAAAGCTAGCCCCTTGGACATATACTGAACTGTGGGGAAAAATTTCTGTTTTATATAGTTTTGTATCCCTAGTGCCTATTAGGTACTCATAAATGTGAGTTTAATTGAAACTAATGCTCAAATTCCACAAAGCCATATTTTCTCTGGGAAATAAAATATTTATGAGATAACAAACAAACAAAAAACCTTATAGTAGTAGCCTAGAAGCCAAGAAGACTTCCAGTAGCACAGCATAATAGAAACTATAGCAGATGCCATTTTTTGAGCACTTCCTGTATGACTGGTTATGTGGAATGGATCCCTTTACCATAATGGTTTCATCCCTACAGAACGTTAGGAATGGGTTAGTCCTCTCTAAAAAAGGACTGTCATTAACGGGGTGGGTAGCGAAGATGACTGACATTCATCCATGGGGTGTCTCATGCACCTGTTTCTTTGGGACTGGGTATTGGGTTACTAACTTCATGGGCTGCCTGACCCAGTGTTGACTGGTCATGGGGCTTCTTTGGAGTCTCCTCTGGTCCTCCTAAAAAGCTTATGGACCTTCCTATGTGTCTGGCTCATTAAGGGTTCTTCCTTTCTTCCCCCATGTCCTCCCCACCCTATCTGCCCCGCTTGAGAGACTCCTTTCAAACAGAAGAGGAGCTCCATGAGGCCTTTACTTGCCAGCTCGGTGGGGTTGGAAGGCTGATTCACTCAATCCAGCCCAAACCTGACTTAGGCACTGAAAGCAATTATTATCAGAGACCAAAGGGACACCTCCAGCATACAAACCCCAAGTCTCCAGATCTTAGATGGGACACATTTTTCTAGGACATTTTGCCTAGTATTGGGAGAGTAGAAAACTATAGCAGAAAATGCAGCATACTAAGATGGGAGAGAAATGATTATGACATGAGATAGACTTCATTTTAATCCTAGCTACCCCTAGAATCTGTTTGACCTTGGAACCATCTTTTAATTTTAATTCTTTCAAAATTTCCTTTTAGCATAAGAGAGTCACCTGCCCAACTGTGGTGGGGTATTTCCTATGAAAATCTTGAGACTTTCGGCAGGGAGAGGGCATTGACTTCCTTTGCTACTACTGTTGTCACAATGAACTTGAAACTTCTTTATCTCTAAGGATTTAGTGTAGGCAGGAAGGATATTTCTCTTGGGCATTGACACAAGCTAGGATACTTGTTGGGAATATGTGCAACGACAGAGGAAGGGGTACACAAGATTGTCACTGGTTTGTGTCAACCACTGCAGGTGCCATGTTCATGTCTCCCAGGCTAGGGAGATGATGGTGGCCATAGTGGGGTGGTTGTGATGAAGTTGGTGATGTTGACTGGGATAGCAGCTGACAATTTCTGGGCTGTGTATAGTACGTCTTTAATGTAGAGTATTTCACTGAATTTCATTGCATTACATTCTCACAGTGACTCTATGAGATTGGTCTTGTCAAGGGCCCTCTTCCTTCTATCAAGTTCATTTAATCAGAACTCATGCTTTCTAAAATCTTGTTCCCCTTGCTTCAATTTAGTTTAATCCTGGATGCATTTTCTTCTCTTCTGTTTTTTCTTTTTCTTCTTATTTTTTTTTTCTGTTCTTTTCCCTTTTTTTTTTTTATTTTATTTTTTTGCTAGGGAACACATGCCTTCACTGGAGAGAGACAGAAAAAGAGAGGAAAAGTGAGAAAACACTCCTTCCCCCCATGAAGATGGTTGTGCAGCAATCCCTTCTCTATTCTCCTTTTGAGATGTTGGGCACACCCACCTGGCATGTTTTTCAAGGAGGACTCACACTGCACTGTTGGCCTTGTGGGATCCAGCCACCTTAACCACCATGCCACTGACTGGTCTGCATCATAGCTTTTATTTATTTTTATTTTATTTTATTTTTTAATTGCCAGAGGACATATGTACTTGCCAGACACACACACACACACACACACACACACACACACACACAGGGAAAAGACAACACCTTAATGGAGTGTGGTTGGTTTGCATCCACTTCTCCTCCATATCTCCATCTTGTCAGGATTTTGGGCATGCACACAAATATGCCTGGCATGTTTTTTAAGCCATTGAAGTCAAAATTTCAACTGTGGTTAGCCCTGTGGGATCTAGCTCCCTTAACTATTAGGCTATAGGGCTGGCTCGTCTTTGTCTTACTATAAGAAAAATGGTAGTTATTCATTTGTTCATTGAGTGTTTTAGTATATATACCAACTAAATGTATACCAACTGAACTGTGCTAACTATTCTCTCATTTCATACTTAACATTAGCCCTGTTTATGGGACCAGCAGATAGTGTAATGGCTATGATGCTAGACTCCCATGTAGCCGACTGTGGTTCGAGTCCCAGACCCGGTGGCTTAAACTCACACTGGGCTCATTTAAATGCACTGAGAGGACAATGGAGGAGAAAGGATTGCGGCATGGCCATCGCCCCTGGGGGGTGATTTCTCACTTTCTGTCTCTCTGTCTCTCTCTGTCTTTCTGGCGAGTGCACACACCCTATAGCAAAAACCTCTCCAAAAAAAAAAAGAAAAGAAAAGTAAAAGAAAAAATTTAACCTTAATCAATGAGGAAAAACAGACTCAAATAGTAATTTGCCTCAAGTCATGTAATTCGAAGTGGCTGAATTAGGATTTGAACCCAGACCTAACTACCTCCAGAACCCAAGCTATTAACTGTTGTAATTTTTATTGCTTATAGAAATGAAAATGTAGTGGGACCAGCAGTTGGCATAATGGCTATGTCACTGGACTCCCATGTAGTCCACTGCAGTTCGAGTCCCGGACCCAGTGACTTAAACTCATGCCAGGCACGAGTGCATGCATGCCCAAGATCCCGAGAGGAGAATGGAAGAGAAGGAATTGCAGCATGGCCATCCCCCCTGGGGAGTGATTTCTCACTTTCTGTCTCTCTGTCTCTCTTGGTCTTTCTGGTGATTGCACGCGCCCTACAGCAAAAACCTCTCCAAAAAAAGAAAATACAAAAAGAAAGAAAGAAATGAAAATGTAGTTAAACTCCCTGGTTCAGAGAAAAAAGTACCCAAACAACTGATAGCTTCTCCTTTCTGATCAGACTGCTTCTCCGCCACCTGAGTCCACCCTTCTGCATGTATTTGAGCCCAGCTTATGTGTCGGTCCATGTGGGCTGGGGGGGAATTGGGCAATGGCTGTTCATGACCCCCTTCCAGCTCTCTGCTTGCTTGGTGTCCTTGCCGCCATGTTGCCCCAGGGCCTGGGCAGAGCCTTGCAGAAGCCTCGGGTCACACGTGGCTTTGATATCTTCTCTTTTCAGGCCCAGCTTGGGACATTCTTCACTTCTCTTCGCTTCCCCTCTGGGAGCCCCTTTCGCCACCCCTGCACCTTGCTTCGGGCGATGCCCGAGAGGGAGCTGTGGCCAGCGGGGCCTGGCTCAGAACCCGTGACCCGCGTCAGCAGCTGTGACAGCATGACGAGCACCACCTCCACCCGCTCTGGATCTGTACGTACTCTCATCCCGCGACTTGGCCTGCTCTGCGCGCCCCTGGGGGGTGATTTCTCACTTTCTGTCTCTCTGTCTCTCTCTGTCTTTCTGGCGAGTGCACACACCCTATAGCAAAAACCTCTCCAAAAAAAAAAAGAAAAGAAAAGTAAAAGAAAAAATTTAACCTTAATCAATGAGGAAAAACAGACTCAAATAGTAATTTGCCTCAAGTCATGTAATTCGAAGTGGCTGAATTAGGATTTGAACCCAGACCTAACTACCTCCAGAACCCAAGCTATTAACTGTTGTAATTTTTATTGCTTATAGAAATGAAAATGTAGTGGGACCAGCAGTTGGCATAATGGCTATGTCACTGGACTCCCATGTAGTCCACTGCAGTTCGAGTCCCGGACCCAGTGACTTAAACTCATGCCAGGCACGAGTGCATGCATGCCCAAGATCCCGAGAGGAGAATGGAAGAGAAGGAATTGCAGCATGGCCATCCCCCCTGGGGAGTGATTTCTCACTTTCTGTCTCTCTGTCTCTCTTGGTCTTTCTGGTGATTGCACGCGCCCTACAGCAAAAACCTCTCCAAAAAAAGAAAATACAAAAAGAAAGAAAGAAATGAAAATGTAGTTAAACTCCCTGGTTCAGAGAAAAAAGTACCCAAACAACTGATAGCTTCTCCTTTCTGATCAGACTGCTTCTCCGCCACCTGAGTCCACCCTTCTGCATGTATTTGAGCCCAGCTTATGTGTCGGTCCATGTGGGCTGGGGGGGAATTGGGCAATGGCTGTTCATGACCCCCTTCCAGCTCTCTGCTTGCTTGGTGTCCTTGCCGCCATGTTGCCCCAGGGCCTGGGCAGAGCCTTGCAGAAGCCTCGGGTCACACGTGGCTTTGATATCTTCTCTTTTCAGGCCCAGCTTGGGACATTCTTCACTTCTCTTCGCTTCCCCTCTGGGAGCCCCTTTCGCCACCCCTGCACCTTGCTTCGGGCGATGCCCGAGAGGGAGCTGTGGCCAGCGGGGCCTGGCTCAGAACCCGTGACCCGCGTCAGCAGCTGTGACAGCATGACGAGCACCACCTCCACCCGCTCTGGATCTGTACGTACTCTCATCCCGCGACTTGGCCTGCTCTGTGCACACCTGCCCTGCCCTGCCCTGCCCTGCCCTGCCCTGCCCCGCCACCCATCCTTGCTCGCTGCATTCTCTTTCATCTTCCTTGTGAGGGAGTGAATTGCAACATCACTATGTCTTTTCTTTCTCTGAGTCATCCCACAGAGAGGAGGGTGGGACCACCTCAAACAGAAATAGGACAAATGAGAAATTTTTTCCAGTTTTCATTAGACGTGGGCATTGAGTTTGGGAGAGAACAGATCTGTGAGCTGAGGTCAGGTGGAAACTAGAATGCAGATCTTTGTAGCACCTAGATCCTTAAAGTTCTGTCCACAAGCAGCATTACTTTAGTCTTTTACAGAGATCAAAGAGAATCCAATAGAATGGGATATTTAAGAGCCTAGGTTCTGGTGCCAAACATTTCTGGGTTCTCCACTAAGAAGCTGTATGACCTTGGGCAAATTACTTAATTTCTCTATGTTTCAAAGTGGAGATAATATGAATACCTAATTCACAGGTTCAGGGAGAGACTAAATGAGACACATAGAAAGCACTTAGTGTATGCTTCCATATAGAAAGGGAACAGCCAGCCGGTCAAGGAGCAGAAATTGATCATCTTCCAAACTCACTGTTTCACTGTCTGTGAGAGGCATGTAATAAATCATGATTTTTCTGAGCATGAATTGAAATTTCAGTTGTTATAAGGCTTATGTGAAAGAGTAACTCTTCCCCCTCCCAAACAATTGCTTTGATATTCGTAGTTGTTGTATACATAATAACCCTTAAATAAATATACTTTATTGCTTTATCTTCTGTAGAAGAATTTGAAAATTTAAGGATTATAAAGGTCTATACCCAATGTCAGTGGGTTTTGATATGTAAAAATTGTGTAAAAAAAGGAACACACACACACACACATATTCCCGAAGTGCAATCTAGGTGTAATTTCTTTTTGACCCTAGACAATGGGGCCAGAGAGGCATTTTCCTGTTTCTGTGAAGCTGAAGCCAACGTGAATAGTCACATACCTTGGACACGGAGTGTGACAGAGATGCAACGTTTTCAAAGTGAATCATCCACAGAAGGAGAAAGACAGAGCCAGCTTACTGTGGATAAGGCTCTATTAGGAGAAAGAGGGCAATAAAGAAGATCTTTGTTCAAGTAGCTCCTGGAGTCAGCCTCAGGACTTCCCAGGGGTATTTGTGGTCTTCCCTGAACATGTGTGTCCCAGTCAGTCAATTGACAGGTGGCACTTTAAAGGGGTGGGCACAACTGGATGGGTTATTCAACAGCAAGATATTTTAAGGGCTATCTCAAAATCTTTCCCGGCCATGTGAGTGAATCTCGAGAATATACAACTCTGAAGTGTCCCAAATGCTAGGAACAGTGGTAGAGATGCCAAAAGAAGACTCAGGCCAAATTTCTTATCTTCCCATTTGCCCTTTTGGTTTTTCTTTCAGCTTCTTCCTTTAAAGAGCCACAATTCCATTACTCTCCCTGGCTTGCTAGAGGGTGGGCAAGGAACCATCTGCGCTGGTCATAGCATAGTGCCATGTGCTTCCTCATTATGAGAATTAATTACTGTAATGTCTACTTAGTGTTTCATACTAAGCTTTCTTCTCCTCCCATACCGCCCAGTTTTTCTACCTTCCCTGCTTAAGTTAATATTTGCTTAAGCAATGCACTCTTATTTGAATGTTGGCCAGGGCCAAATACCATCCAGAAAGTAAATATATAAAGGGAAAAAATCCTGTATGGAATGCAGTTTAAGGTCAAGTATAAATTATTTAGTAAATTTACCGTGGTTAGTCCTGCCACTGTTCCCACTGGCTTTGACAGAATCATTGGCTACATTTCCTGTTTGCTCTGACTGCCCTTGACATACCAGATCAAGTATGCAGAGTGCTTTCAAAAGTTTATGGTCAAATCATTATGTTGCCCATATAATCTGGAGCTAAATCAGAGACACACAAAGTAAAATACTTAACAAAGGTTCCATAGAAGAATTGAAAGTAGAACCTGACCAGTACTTCTGAACTGTGCCCCTAAGTGTCTCATTGAGCAAAAGAAAAGCTCCTTGCCATCTGCCTGCCCAGTCACCTGGGACCATCCGAGTGTGCGCTGGGGGACTGCCAGCCTTTGCTTTCCAGGTCCCTATAGTCCTTTGAAAGAATTATTTCTTTAATTTGATTTACTATTATTAGTTATTTTTTAAATTTGACCAGACAGAGAGAGAGAGAGAAAGGGAAAGTGAGAAAGCAAGTGCCAGGTCCAGGACTCCTACCGCAGTCACCCATGTGGGAGTCCAGCACTTTAACCACCATTCCACCTGCCGGCCCCAGTTTTAGGAAGCAACTCCAGCAGGTTTGCACAGTCGCACCATGGAAAGGTTTCTAGCTCTTCAGCATTCCTTCCACAGAGCAGGGTGGTTCTCAGGCCCCACCAGTTTCTTCGAGGGAGTTCCTCTCCCAACTCTTTTCCTCCCTTGATCCCTGCAGAGTGACAATAGCTACGATTTCCTGTCTGCGGAGGAGAAGGAGTGCCTGCTCTTCCTGGAGGAGACCATTGGCTCATTGGACACCGAGGCTGACAGCGGTCTGTCCACTGATGAATCTGAGCCAGCCACCACTCCCCGAGAGAGAAAGGGAAAGTGAGAAAGCAAGTGCCAGGTCCAGGACTCCTACCGCAGTCACCCATGTGGGAGTCCAGCACTTTAACCACCATTCCACCTGCCGGCCCCAGTTTTAGGAAGCAACTCCAGCAGGTTTGCACAGTCGCACCATGGAAAGGTTTCTAGCTCTTCAGCATTCCTTCCACAGAGCAGGGTGGTTCTCAGGCCCCACCAGTTTCTTCGAGGGAGTTCCTCTCCCAACTCTTTTCCTCCCTTGATCCCTGCAGAGTGACAATAGCTACGATTTCCTGTCTGCGGAGGAGAAGGAGTGCCTGCTCTTCCTGGAGGAGACCATTGGCTCATTGGACACCGAGGCTGACAGCGGTCTGTCCACTGATGAATCTGAGCCAGCCACCACTCCCCGAAGTTTCCGGGCACTTCCCATAACCCAACTTGCTCCAGAGGGTAAGACAGACTACCTGGGAGAGCACCTCTAGCAGAGCCCAGGACATCAGCACATCTTCTGGCCACTTTCTGCCTCACCTGCCCTCCGCACCAAGGGACACAGGCAGAAGGAACTTCACCCCTCACCACTCTCCTAGCTAGAAGAAAGCCTAGTCCTCAGAGGGAAGGAGAGACTCCTGACAACTTCTTATGTCTGTCTATGAAGTATCAGAGGCCTGGGAAGAATGATGGCCAGGTCCTGTCATCTTATGGAAAAATTCTAAAGAGATATGACCATGGAGGTAGGGGAGGGAGTCAGAAAGGGCTGAGTTGTTGGCACTCAAGGGACTGAGTCAGTCGGAGGAGCTAATCTGGGTGACCCAGAGGACAAGGCTGTCGGAGATAAGGAGAGGGAAGGGCGCCTCAGTGCAATGGCAGCGCCTGGAGGCCCTTGTCAGAGAGTCTGGAGAGCCAGTGCTCAGTAGGAGGGCTCACATCCGACATGGCCATAGTGTGGGAAGCACTCTGTCCTGTGGACAGGCCCCCTGGTATCAGAGCTGCCGTCATTTAAGCCGTGTCACTCTGGTGCAGGGACATTATGGGTATGAGGGCGTCATCCAGGTGTTCCCAGGCACGAAGGCAGAGGGCAACGAAAGTCTGGGTAAATCAAGAGCAAGTCACTTGCTCACGTGCTTCCACTGGGGTCAGTCACGTGGGAGCCCCAGGACAGTTAGGGGAACTGTCATGAATCTAACCCAGCTCTGGTGCATCTGTAGAAGGTTGGCGAGAACTGAGTCAAGGTTGAGGAGCAATGGGGACTGTGCTTTCCTCAGCTATCATAAAAATATCAATCCTCAGTCAAAAGAAATCTGCAATTATTCATCTATTAGTTTGAATGGTATCCAGGCAGGAGTGCCACACCTTAAAAGCAAATTAAACGAAATGAAATAAAAGCCACTCATTGCTAGTTGGAGGCCAGAGCCCAGGGAATATTTGTTTCCACCTGGAGCAGGGCGCTTACCCTTGTTCTCTCTTTCTTGCCTCTTCTCCCTGACTCTCCTAGGAAATCCAGAGGAGATCATCATTCAGCAGGGCCCAGAGCCAAGGAAAGTGTCTGGGTCCAGCTCCTTCCATCCTTCTGAGCCCCAGCGCCTGGGCCTCCGGTCTGGTTCCTACAGCCTCCCGAGAAGCATCCACATTGGCAGAAGCCAGAACCTCAGGAAAAGCACCACCCAAACTAACGGCCACGGGCCTGGAGAATCTGTGGGGCCTGTAGCAAAGCCTGAGAAAGAGCAGGTGGGCCAGAGCAGTGAGCCCAGCCAGCCACCAGCCCGCCACCGGGAAGTCGCCTTGGACTTGGACGTGGCGGTCATCCCTCCACCAGAGGCTTTCCGGGACACCCAGCCAGCTCAGCCTGGGGAGAACAGTCTGCCCAAGGGTCTGGGAGAGCAGAAGCACCCTCCACCAAACTCCCAGCAGAGAAAGGAGACTTCTTCAGAGACCATGTCCCACAAAGCCAATGAGAAAGGCATAACAGGAGGCCCAAGCCAGCCACAGCCCCCTCCTGCTACATCGTCTCACAACCTTAGCACTGAAAACGCGCC